TTTTTTTTTTTTTTTTTTTTTTTTTTTTTTTCTTTTTTTTTTCAGAATACCTCACTGGAGAACACATTTTCTTGAATTCTTGACCATCACCTGAGGTCAGGAGTTCAAGACCAGCCTGGCCAACAAGGTGAACCCATCTCTACTAAAAATACAAAAATTAGCCAGGCATGGTGGTGTGCGCCTATAATCCCAGGTACTTGGGAGGCTAAGGCAGCAGAATCACTTGAACCTGGGAGGAAGAGGTTGCAGTGAACTGAGATTGTGCTACTGCACTCCAGCCTGGGTGACAAGAGCGAGACTCCATCTCCAAAAAAATAAAAATTAAAAAAAAGACAATGTCTCTGCCCTAAAAGAAAACACTGTCTTGGGCAGAGGTTTTTACTCTGGGGTGCAGATGGAGGTCTGTGAAACTCCTGAAACTACTCAAAATTTTGTGTGGGAATGAGGGCATTTTTCTGGGGAAAACATCCATCGTTTTCATTGTATACTCAAGTCTGTGACTCCCCTCATGCCCAGAAAAAAAAAAAAAAAAAAAACATTGAAACCATTTGGCTTCTGGATATACAGGTAAGAAAGCTGATAAATTATCATGCAACATTCTAAGGACTAGTGAAGACCAATAAGCAGAATATGATTTGGGGCATAAAGCCATCAATTGTGGGGAAGTTTAATCTCTACTGACATACGGCTTTATGTGCTGCTAACAGACCTTTCTCTCTTTTTGTGTTTTTTTTCAGATGAGTCTTACTCTGTTGTCCAGGCTGAAGTGTAGCAGCGCAATCTCCGCTCACTGTAACCTCCACCTCCAGGGTTCTATCGATTCTCCTGCCTCAGCCTCCCCGAGTAGCTGCAACTACAGGCGTGCACCACCACACCTGGCTAATTTTTGTATTTTTAGTAGAGATGGGGTTTTACCATGTTGGCCAGGATGGTCTCAAACTCCTGACCTCAAGTGACCCTTCTGCCTCTGCCTCCCAAAGTGCTGGGATTACAGGCATGAGCCACCATGCCTGGCCTGAAGCACTTCGAAATCCTTTAGGGATACCTCCCAAACACAATCCCCAGTTCCTCCCAAGAAAGAATAACTATTTTCGACTTTTTTGGGGGGGTGGGGACAGAGTTTCACTCTTGTTCCCCAGGCTGGAGTGCAATGGCCTAATTTCAGCTCAGCACAACCTCCACCTCCTGGGTTCAAGTGATTCTCCTGCCTCAGCCTCCCGAGTAGTCGAGATTACAGGCGTGCACCACCATGCCTGGCTAATTTATTTGTACTTTTAGTAGAGACGGGGTTTCTCAGTGTTGTTCAGGGTGGTCTCAAACTCCCGACCTCAGGTGATTCCCCAGCTTTGGCCTCCCAAAGTGCTGGGATTATAGGCATGAGCAACCATGCCTGGCCTCTACTTTCTTTTATAGTAATCATTCCTTTTATTTTCTTTGTGTTTTATCAGCCAAACGTGCATCCCCAAATGCTATAGCTTAGTTTTATCTTAAAAAAAAAAAAATTATCTTTTAATCTTTGCAATTGATTCCTTGAAGACTCCAGATTATTATTCCAGAATTTTTTGTAGTCTGGATTTTGCTCTGTTCTCTGTATTTCCTGCAAACTCATAGTTGGATCTAGGCTTAACCCGATTCAGGTATGAAGTTTTGGGGGCATATTCAGAGATAATGTTATGTTCTTCATCAAGAGGCACAGAAACCAGTCTTCAAGTTAAGTTCATTCTGATTTCAGTGACAGGAGTTGTGAATTCCCTTATACCATAGACTTTTTTTTTTTTTTTAAACAGTCTTGCTCTGTTTCTCAGGCTAGCGTGCCAGTGGCATGATTATGGCTCACTGCAGCCTCAATCTCCCAGGCTCAATTGATTTTCCCACCTCAGCCTCCCAAGTAGCTGGGACTACAGGTGCACACCACCACACCTAGCTAAGTCAGACTTTTTTTTGTAATACCTGAGGAAAGTTTTCAAGATGTGATTTCGTATCACCCTACTTCCATTCATTTTTATTTTTATTTTGACATATTTTCAGACTTGTAAAGTAGCAAGAATACAAAGAATTTTCTTAAACTCTTCACTAAGATTCCCCAAATGTTAACATTATATTTTTCCACACTTGTTTTAGTGTTCTCTCTCTTCCCCACACATTTTTTTTTTTTTTTTTAGATCGAGTCTCACTCTGTCACCAGGCTGGAGTGCAGTGGTGCAATCTCGGTTTACTGTAACCTTCGCCTCCTGGGTTCAAGCAATTCTCCTGCCTCAGCCCTCTGTGTAGCTGGGACTAGAGGCGCCAGCCACCACACCCAGCTCATTTTTGTATTTTTAGTAGAGACAGTGTTTCACCACGTCAGCGGGGATGGTCTCGATCTCGACCTCATGATCTGCCCGCCTCAACCTCCCAAAGTGCTGGGATTACAAGCATGAGCCACCACACCCGGCCACATTTTTCATATCATTTTATAGTTGGTTGCAGACATGATGCCCTTTTATCCCTAAATAATGTATATTTCCAAAAAGACAGGACATTTTCCTTCACAAGGCAGAACAGTACAATAAAGAAATGTGAAAATTAACATTGATACAATACTATTTTCTTTTCCTTTTTTTTTTTTTTTTAAATAGAGATGAGGGTCTCAGTATGTTGCCTAGGCTGGTCTCAAACTCCTGGGCTCAAGTGATCCTCCCACCTCAGCCTCCCAAAGTGCTGGGATTACAGTGTCAGCCACTGCCTGGCCACATACAATACTGTTTTCTAATCAATCGACTATTCAATTGTCCCAATAAAGTCCTTTATAGCAAAAGAAATTCTGAAACAGTACGTTCTGGAAAGGTTCCTCAGTCTTTGTGTTTTGGAACAGATTGGAAGAGTCCAAGCCAGGGCTGAGATAAAGTCTCACTCCACCACCCAGGTTGGAGCACAGTGGCACAATCTTGGCTCACTGCAACCTCTGTCTACCTGGTTCAAGCGATTCTTGTGCCTCAGTCTCCCAAGTAGCTGGGATTACAGGCACGTGTCAACACATCCAGCTAATTTTGTACTTTATTTATTTATTTATTTTTGAGACAAAGTTTCGCTCTTGTCCCCCAGGCTGGAGTGCAATGGCGCAATCTCAGCTCACTGCAACCTCCGCCTCCGGGGTTCGTACAATTATCCTGCCTCAGCCTCCCAAGTAGCTGGTATTACAGGCAGGAGCCACCACG